GACATGGGTGCACTTACCTACATGCAGGCAATACATACATACACATAAAATAAAAATAGTAAAATTTTAAAAAATATATTAAAAAAGAAATATTTAACCTGTTACCAAAAGCCATATCTTCAGAATGAATTTCTTTTTCTGTACTTCTAATATAAATTTATCTTAGGAGAAACAATCAGACATGACTAGTCAGATTGTTATAAGACAGAATGTTAGCATACCATACCTCATACTCTGACTCTAAAGACATTTTATTCACTTTCAGTTTTTTTTCCAATTCAGGATCAATCTGTAGAAGAAAAGAACCATATATTATTTAAATCTTTTGCATTCATTTTTCACCTTTAAAGTCATAGGACAGATGGCTGGGACAGTAAGCCAATTGTTTTTTTGGGGGGTGGGGGGTGTTTCATCTCACAGAACCTATGACATAAACATTACCTGCAACCTCATTAACACTTGTAAGGAAACACAGCACTAGGAGTCCAAATGGCTTTGAATATTGGCTTCTGCCTCCAGAGGCAGCATCATTAACCACCATCACAGACTTTGTTGCTCAGAAATATTAAAAATATAATATAATGAGCCAGGCATGGTGGTACACACCTTTAATCCCAGCACTCAGGAGGCAGAGACAGGTGGTTATCTGTGAGCTAATGGCCAGCCTGGTCTACACAGCAAGTTGCAGGCATCCAAAGCTACATAATAAGATTCTGGCTCAAAAAAATTATTTTAAATGTTACTATAATAATGCACTTGAAAACCAAAACAGCATCTTCCATAGACCAGAAATTAAGAGCTATCTATGCTTGTTGCCTGTGTGTGACAAAGAGCGTGACTGGTACAATAAACAAGACAAATTAAATTAAACAGGACAGTTGAATTGTTGATGTTAACAGAGCCCATGAGCAAATTACTATACTTGAAGCACAACCTATGATTCCACGAGGACGATGCGTGAACAGAGAAAATGAGACACCAAAGAAAAGCGTATCAGAAAGCTAGATCCCAAAGCTCCCACATATGCATATTTGAGGTTCCAGAATTAAAGCACTGCTAATTCAGTCATGCACCATTTCTGCTTTATCAGCAAACATTAAAATGAAACGTCTACCTAAGATGCTGTTCCACTGTGTAACATTGATAAGCTACCTTCCTGTGTTTTTATTTTCAGTACAAAATCAGATTTAAAATGTGTCTAATGATGGCAAAGTAATTTTCAAAGCCCAAAAACAGAACAAACAAAAAATCAAATAAACCCAACAAAACCCCACTAAGCCTGCAGTATCTTAGGACTCAAAAGAGAAAAATCCACTATAGGAGGAAGGTTCTACAAACGCTGAGAATTGGAGTGGAAACCCACTGTCCCCTTGGCTATTCTTGTCTAGACTAATAACCAAGGCTTAGTCTTATGGATATGTGTTTTCTCCCACAGGTGAACTTTATGGGAAAATAAAGGACAGAAAAGTAACAAAGTACTGAGAAGCACACTAAGAAAGACCCTGTTCATGATAGCCTGAAAACCATAACATATCTTGGACTAAATCTAATCAAGGAAGTTAAAGACTTATAATGAAAGCTTTAAGACATTGAGGACTCCATACTGGGGATGGGGAAAGGGAGAAGGGAGTAGTAAAGGGTAACAGAGGGGGTGAATATCATCAAAGCACATATACATGTATGGAAATGTCATAGTGAAGTCTATTACTCTGCACAATTTCTGTATGTTAATTTAAAAACAGAAGAAGAACCCAGTAAATACTGCTACTGGGGATTAGAGAAATCATCCCATAGGGCTATTTCAACAAAAACAGAGATCAAAGGATATATGACAGGGATCTACCTCCTTTAAAGTAATTCCTATATTCTGGACTCCCTAAGACAAGAGTATATAGCTAAGCTGAACATCTTTTCTCCAATGTACAGTTTTGGCTCTTGTCCTAGTTCACATTTCTGTTGCTGTGATAAAACACTTTGACCAAAAACAACTTGGGGAATAAAGGATTTATTGCATCTTATACTTCCAAGTGATAGTCCATATCTGAGAGAAGTCAGGCAGGAACTCAGCAGGAATCTAGAGGCAGAAATTAAAGCACAGACCACAGAGGAATGCTTCTTACTGGCTTGCTCCTCTGGCCTGTGCTCAGCCTGATTCCTTATACAGCCCATGACCACTTGTCTGGGGGTAGTATGACTAACAATGGTCTGAGTACCTCCCCCCATCACTCAAGAAAATGCCTCACAGGGGCTGAAGGGATGGCTCAGTGGTTAAAAGCACTGGCTGCTCTTGCAGAAGATCCAGGTTTGGTTCCCAGCACCCACATGTTGCTAACAACCATCTTTAACTCCAGTTCCAAGGGATCCAATGCTCTCTTCTGACCTTTGTAGGCATTGTACAACACAGGCACATTTACATACATGCAGGCAATACACCTGTATACATAAAATAAAAATAAAATTTTAGAAAGAGAAAAGAACAGAAATGCTTCACAGACATGCAGCCAGTTCAATCTGATGGAGGCAATTCCCCAACTGAGGTTCGGTCTTCCCAGGTATGTCAAGATGACAACCAAGGCCAACCACAGCAGCCCCTTGTCAAAAATCAGGTAGCTATAAGTGTGTGCACCTAAACTGGGGTCCTCAATTCGATTCCATTGATCAATATACCTGCTTTTATGCCAGTACCATGGTGTTTTTATTACTATAGCTCTGTAGTATAATTTGAAATCTCCAGCACTCTTTTATTGTTTTGGCTATCCTAGTTTTATGTTACATATGGAATTTGAGATTATTTTTTTCATTTCCCATAAAGAACTGTGTTGGGATTTTTATGGGGATTGTGTTGAATCTGTAGATTGCTTTTGGCAGAATGGCCATTTATACACTATCTTACTGATCCATGAGCATAGGAGTTCTTTTCATCCTCTAGTATCCTATTTGATTTCTTTCTTCAATGTCTTAAAGTTTTAAGTCTCTCACTTCCTTGATTAGATTTAGTCCAGGATATTTTATGGTTTTGAGGCTATGAATGGGATTGTTTCCCAGGATTCTTTTTCAGAGTGTTTTGGTCTATAGTCACCGATTTTTGTGTGTGTGTTAATTTTACATCTTGCTACTTTGCTGAATGTGTTTATACATTCTAGGAGTTTTCTGGTATAATTTTAGGGTCTCACTGTAAAGAATCATATCATCTGCAAATAAGGATACTTTGGCTTCTTCCTTTACAATTTGCATCCCTTTATGTCCTCCATTTGTTTTATTGTTCTAGCTAAAACATCAAGTATTGTATTCAACAGAAATGGAGAGTGGACATCCTTGTCTTGTTCCTGATGAGATGAACCTGCACCAAAGAGCATCTGGAGACACAAATTAGGCTTTACAGGCCTTAAAAAAATAAAGAGGTTGGAGAAATGGGTCTGAATAGGATCAAAATATATTATATGAAATTCTCAAAGAAACAATAAAAATATCTTTTTTTTTTTTTTGGCCTTTTTGAGACAGGGTCTCCCTGTAGCCCCAGCTGGCTTGGAACTCACTATGTAGACCAGGCTGGCCTTGAACTCACAGGGATCCGCCTGCCTCTGCCTCCAGAGTACTGGGATTAAAGGCGTGTGCCACCACGCCCGGCTAAAACTATCTTTTAATAAAAAAGAAAAAGAAGATAAAGTAGATCCTTATGGTGGGAGATAGGACTTTTAAGTAATTAGAATTCATATAGTGTTTAAGTCATTAAAGAAACAAATGGAGGGGCCTAGAGAGATGGCTCAGCTGTCTGCTCTTGCAGAACACCAGGGTTCAAATCCCAGCACCCACATGACCGCTAACAACTGTCTGTAACTCCAGTACCAGGGGATCCAATGCCCTCTTCCGTCCTCTGTGGCACTGCATGACATGGGTATACTTACATACATATAGGGATATCATTCATACACATAAATTAAGAATAAATAAATAAATATTTAAAAAAGAAAAAAATGGATAAAAATAAGATATAAGGTTAGAAAGATGGCTCAGCAGTTAAGAGCCTGTAATGTTCTTGTGGAGGACCTGAGTTCATTTCCTAGTACCTAGGTCAGGTGGTTCACAACTCCAGCTCAGGGGGATCTGATGCCTTTGGCCTCCATGGCCACCTGTACTCACATGCATATACCCACACACATACACATAATTAAAAATAAAATAAATCTCTTATAAAATGATATTCTAGAGGAAATTTTCTCTAGAGAGTTGGACTACATAATAAAGAATTAAATGAACAGTTCAGAAATTTAAAATATGCAAAGAATCACAAACTTAAAGAATGAGCGATTAAGATAAAACAACAGAGAAGCAGGGGTGAGTGAAACATACAAAAAGAATTAGACAGAGTTAACGTCTGATGTACAACCTATACCGCCCTGTACAGGAAACGGAGAGAAAAGTGGGCAAAAGGAGTATTTTATAAAACATCAATTTTTTTGTTTCCTATGGTTTTGCTTAGTCTTCAAAAAACACAGATGGCAATTTGAAACTCCATTTTTTGTTCCAAAATTAAGTTTTCTCATTGCCATAATTCAATATCTATCTATCATCCATCCATCTATCTATCTATCTATCTATCTATCTATCTATCTATCTATCTATCTATCTATCTATCATCTATCTTACCTACCTACCTACCTACCTACTTGTGCTGGAAGCCAACCCCAGGGCTTGCTGTATGCTAAACAAGTGCTCTACCACTGAGCTATATCCCCAGAGCAATTAATCACTTTGTATACAATAGAAAGCATGATCCTTGGTAAGACTGAATGGAACCAGCTGTGTTACTTACTATTGAGGATAAACATATCTGGTATCAGAACATCACTTTTTGTTCACCAACAGGATATATTTGGTTCTAACTCCTGAATTAGAAACATGTGATTTTAATAAGTTTTGTAGGTAGACAAAGGAACAATATAATGAATGTTTTTTTTGTTGTTGTTGTCGTTGGTTTTTTTTGTTTGTTTGTTTGTTTGTTTTTGTTTTTTTTGTTTTTTTTGAGACAGAGTCTCCCTGTAGCCCCAGCTGGCCTGGATTCATATGGAGACCAGGCTGGCCTTGAACTCACAGAGATCCACCTGCCTCTGCCTCCCAAGTGCTGGAACTAAAGGCGTGTACCACCATGCCCAGCTATAATGAATGTTCTTGCTAGTATGGTATGATCAAGCTAACTCAGCATTTGCTATCTGAGGTTAACTGCTGGTATTTTAAGAGGAACAAACATGATTGATTCATAAATACCTGCCTGTCTCATCCTGGATATGTGAGACTCAGTCTTCATATACGTTCTCATTTCTGTCTCCAATATAACCAATTGCAATTTCTTTTTTGAAGACTATGCAGTCTTCTTCTTTCTTTTACAGTGATGTCTGGGTCATAATGGCATTGCTACTATAATTGTTCGTATTTTCATTATCTGATCTTAAAACATAAGGTCACAGCCGGGCGTGGTGGCGCACACCTTTAATCCCAGCACTCGGGAGGCAGAGGCAGGCAGATCTCTTTGAGCTCAAGGCCAGCCTGGTCTACATAGTGAGTTCCAGGACAGCTGGGGCTACAGGGAGACCGTCTCAAAAAGACCAAAAAACAAAACCAAAACCAAAAACCAAAAACAAACAAACAATAAAAACCCATAAGGTTACAATATTTATGTTAAATATTAAGCTAGTACTATTTTGTTAAAAGGCACAATAAACAAAGATTCTGTACTATTTGTTAAGTTTGATGTACTTAAATTGCATGCTTAAATCCACTATGATGGTGATCCACAGAAAAAGAAAAATGGACCCTGTTGGTTTTGGATCTTACATTTTTAGGTCACCTTGTGGATCCCCATGCTTTCCTCTCAACTTTCTACAACCATTAATGTAAAACAGGATTCCTGTATTATGAACGCCACTCTCTCAGGTGAGCTCATTCCTACTTGGTTTCTTCTCAACTGACTCTGTCCTCTAAATCCCAGTTTCAGCCTGCCTTGGTCCTGGCAATCTTGCCACCTTAGCCCTACCTTCTTGATCTTAACTTCTTAAACTCTGCAGCCACTACCATCCCCAACTAATGGTATGGAGGATCAAACTCACTCTCAAGTCTTCTCAACATTAGCCTACTTTATCCTCACTCTCTTGTTTAACTTTACCTGAACTGACTTCTCAGTATCAATCAGCCTCGCCCTCTCAATCTCTGTAGGTCTTGCCCTCCGATTTTCATCTTAGAGACACATCTGACTTAATTCTTTTACCTTTATTCTCTTAACACCAACAGACCTTGACTTTCCACCTCCAATCCCTTCACTCTCCTGACCAACACTTAACACTCTTCATCTACCTTCTCAATCCCTCCTGTTATCTTAAGTCTTTCTCATTTTTCCCCTTAATTGGGTAGTTAATACTATTATTTATCCAATCTTAAAAGTCAAAATTTGAAATAAGCTGAGCATGGTGGCACACACCTTTAATCCCAGCACTTGGGAGGAGAGGCGAATGGATCTCTGTGAGTTTGGTCTATTTAACTAGTTCTAGGGCAGCTAGGGTTGCATAGTGAGACCCTGTCTCAAAAAACAAAACAAAAATCCTTTGAAAAAGTCTAGAATTACTCATATTTTTATATGATACACATCACATTGCTCATTAAAGCACTGTCAATTTTCCAATGTTTTTTTGGAACCTTTAATTTATTAACTCTTCTCTTTATTACTGGAAATGTTTTACTTCCAGTCCTATTATTCACCAATTCTACTGCCACAGGATCTGTTATGATTTGGATCTACAATGGCGCCCCAGCTGTCAAGTCCCCTGAGCAGTGGTGGGGTTCTGGGAGGTGGCTGGATCATGAAAGTTCTGACCTATAAATGCATATGGATATGTCTATGGATTCAGGGCTTAGTGGACTCTTGGGAGGTTGAAGAAGCAGGTCACTTCGGTGAAAGAGGGGTCTATTCTCCCTAGGTTTTGCTTCCTGGCCATTGTGAGCTGAACAGCTTTGTTCTACCACATGCTCCCCATCATGACGCTCTGCCTTGCCAAAGGCCTCAAAGCAACAGAGCCAGGTAACCAGAGCTGAGACCTCTGAAACCCTTGAACCAAAATAAAGATAGTCTCCTTTTATGTTGTTTAGCTCAGGTATGTTGTCACAGCAACAAAAATCTAATCCAGACTCCTAGCACGCCTCTCTACTCTAAATAATCTTTTCTATCTTGCTCCCCCAGTCCCCAGCCTTCTTGTACTCCTTTGCAAGAGAATTTTAAAAGGAAAATATTACTCTCTCTGCTTTACAGAGTATAAGGAACTTCTACCACTCACTAAACTCCTGCTCTTCTTAAACTGAATTCAGGGTCCACACCTTTAACAAACAATTCCTGATTTCTCTTTCCCAAGCCTAAACTGCACACCCCTCTTTGAAGTTAGTAATGTTCTATATGAAACTGTACTATAGCACTGCTCTGGGAAGTGCTACATGTTTGGATACAATTTTGTAGAAGACGATTTTTGGCCTCAATTCTTCTATACACTTTGTAAAAGCCAGTTTCTTGACACTTTATCTGCAGGATCTAACAAATGATTAACATATGGCAAACATTCAATTATTTTTCAAATAAATACACAATCTTCCACTTTTAAAAGTCAAACCATTACAACTGTCATCTTAAGGGGAAAGAGAAATAATTCCTGATAAAGTAATTGGGATATTAATTGAAACCTTTCAATATAGTTAAATTGAAAACTATAGTTAAATGAAATTGTTACTTAAAATTGTTCTATATCCTCATAAAAACTACATGTTCTTTTTAAATATATATTTACTATAATTCCAATCTATCTTTAAGACTAACTAAAGTTTCTTTCTCTCAAACCGCAACATTATGTAAGAGAGATAAATAGATCTTGATGATGATACTTTCCCACTAGTATTAGAAAGGAAGGTCATGTGATAATATACTATATATGGCTTGGAAAAACCTTCAAATTGTCAGGAACATGTCCCTCCAAAGAAACAAACATACTTCTCAGTGACTGAACCAGAGTTCTTATGTAACATCTGGTGTGAATGTGACAGCAAATATGGAATTACAGAAGATGGGACTCCTAGCTCAAGCCCTGACTAGCCACATGACTAGTGAAGGATACTTAGTTTTCTGGGCATTGGTTTCTTCACTGGAAAAACAAAGGAACGGGTATAGCCCTACCACAAAGCAGATACTATTAAAAGGTTGGTATTTTCATTTATAATAAAAAAATTTTTCTTTTCATATCAGTAACTAATGATAAATGCCAATATATTTATAACATTACTGGTATTAAAGTGAAATAGCTAGTTTCTAGCTAGAGAAATGAAGTAAATTGTTGATCTATATTCTCTAGTTCCTACTCTGAAAACAACTACATCAGAGAACTTTTTTTGAGAGAAGCTAAAAATATTACAAATTTCTTACTGAATAAGGAAAACTATTACTAAATTCTTGTTTTAAAAAAGCCATTTGGGAAGTGGGACTATAGATGAATAAGATTGTTTGGGATGTTCTGTATGATATACACACAAAAAAATCAACAAATAAAAAAATGAGTTATATTTGAAATAAAAAAGATTTTTTCATTTACTTTTATTTATGTGTATGTGTGAATGCCTGTATACATACATGTGCACCACATGCATGCCGGTGCCCAAGGAAGCCAGAAGAGAGCACTGGATGACTGGAGCTACAACACAGTTGTGAGCTGCCTCATGTGGGTGCTAGAAACCAAACTTGGGCCCTCTGCAAGAGAAACAAGTGCTCGGAATTTCTGAACCATCTCTCTAGCCCCTATTACTAAATTCTTTACATGATTTCAGGGAATCATTTATATTTTAAAGAACATGAGATGATGCAAAGATTATCTATTAGCTTTGAAATACAAGACAAATTAATATTGCTAAGTGACCTGAGTATATCCATTTACTAAACCAAAGCCAATATACTCAGACACAAGTCAAACACCAATTGCAGTTCTTACCTTAATTTTCACAGCATCATAACGGATTTGTGAAAACTCACGAAGACCAAAAGAACCTCCGACAACCAACAACTGAAATAAAGAAAGGAAACAATTATTTACACACACACACACACACACACACACACA